ACAGATAGTAGCAGGAAGTGTTTCACTTTGACCTATCTCCACCTTCCTTCTGACAGAACAGGCTGCTACAGAATACCTTGTATTTCCAAAAGTTAATACCAAACTTTCGAGACAGGGAGACATTAAGTGGTGAACGAGCTTTCAGGGCTATTTAATTTTTCATTAGAGAATATTGCCTTTCAAAAGTGTTGGCAAATAGCCCTGTTATATCAGCAACTGCATGACCTGTAGAAGCTTTTATCAGCAGAACATTCAAGTAAAGACTTGAAACCAAGAGCATTCTTGTGCTCAAAGCAACAGAAATACATGTGCTGCCCTAGGCAAGGGTCCTACTGCATAAATGAGAATAATTTAATGAGTTATTTCAAATTAAAATTCAGCTCTTATGTTTTTGTGAAGTTATGCAGTGTTTACAATCAATACTCTGCCAGCACTTGTAGCAACTTTCCTTACAGTATTACAAGGCCACTAAAAAAGTCACACTGACTTAAACTCACTTATGTATAGGAGTCACATGATGTAGTACACAAAATAAGAAATAAGATGTTTTATTAACTTTTATTCTGCACTTATGCTTGGGTTTTAGTGTGTCCTTACAAGTTTTAAAAAAAATCAATGTTTTCCTTATTCCCATTTATGTCTGAGCAGAATGTTGGCCAAACCCAGAAAATAGGTAAGTAATTACAAGATAAGACAGTAACGTATCAGACCTGATAGCATCAAGTTAGGCAACCACTTAACCCACTGAAGTCACTCATGTGCTTTAAAGGTACCTTAAAGTCTACCTTGCTTCCTCATTTTTTGTCATAGCTACTGTAAGTGTGGGCAACAAGTCAAGCTTTTCAAATTACAACTGCTCTTCACCCCAAACACAGACTTCCCACAGTATCACAGTGTACCTGGTCCACACCCTCCAACCAAAAGACCAAATCTCTCCCCCAGCTTTGTTTTAAGCTGCTTGGCCCAGATGACCTCTGATGTGCTAGCCCATCTCCTGGCCCAAGGCATTAGTCATCATAGCAACAGTTTTGTAGACAGGTGCCTCTACAGCCAAGTGTAACAAGGAAAATTCCTGTGTAAAAATAGGTGCGTTCATCTTGGTTTTGAGATGCACACATTGAAATGCTGACGTCTGAATGCCACAACTGGGAAGATGAAGCCCAATATTACAGAAGATGCAAGCACAGATAGATCAACAGCATTGACAGCAATAACACAATCCCAGGCTATTATTTTACCTGTGATGGACCATATCTCAAATTGTGTTAATTTCTCAAACTGTTACAGTAAAAAAACCTCTCTGCTAGCCACAAAATAAGGCTACAAATTTTTTTGCTAGTAAGTCCTAACTTGTTGCTGCTTTAAGATTTAACTTAAGTCACTATTCCTATACACTGAGCTATCTTCATGAAGCATGTTTGAAGTGACAGTACAAAGGGAAATGGATTTTAAACATCAGTCAGGCCTGCTCAGCAGTACAGATAAGAGTATCCCAGACTTATTAGTATTTGATGACTTCTGGCTGTTATGCAACTAATACACCCCAGGTACAACCCCAACCAACAGCCATCTGCTTTAAAAAAAAAATGCACCTTTTTCATTCACACTGGGAAAATGCTCTCTTGCCAAACAGAAGGCTTTTCTAGACACAGGTGGGAAGTTCACCTATCATGGTTGATTTCACTGCATACATCTTTTGCAGAGGCCACACAAGTCTCAAGGATGTTTCTGCAGAAGTTAAGCCCTTCCACAAGTGCCCCAGCTAACACTCATGTACCTAAATTACAGCTCACCCTCTGCCAGCGTCATGCTTCCAGCCTGTCTTATCCACACTGTTAGTCCCACACAGATGCTTATAGACATTCCTGAAACTCTTATTATTTAGGTACAAAAGGAACTAGTCCTCCTCCACTATACTGCATGAAGTAGTTTCACATTTTCTTCCTTAACTTTATCATAAAACTTTATAGTAAGAAAAGTACTACCTCTGTATAAATTTGCATCAGGTTCTTACTCATGAGCTCTGACTCCCCAGAGGTACTCAGCTACATATCAGATTCGTATTTTTCAGCACTGACCTTTCCTCTGGGCAACAGCACTCACGATTTTTAGTGTTGCTCCTCGACTGCCTCCTTATCTGCAGCTAATCCTCAAAATATAAGCAGTTTTGATTTTAAACTGAAGGTGTTTACATAAACACATTTTGTCCTCATTTCCATATAACAAAATAATACAACCGTGGCTAGTTACACCATACTCAAAACTGGTATCAGCTGTGTGGTTCATATAAAACTACCCTTCCATGAAAAAGTGCAAGCTGAACACACAGATGTCCCTGCTGGAATATGAACTCCAAATATAGCTCCTCATTTGCTGCCAAGCACGGTCTTGCATCCTTTCATTACTCCAGCCACCAAAGAACGTAACTGCATAAAAAGTCATCAGCACACACTATTTCTATGAGTAAATATAAAAAGTCAGTTTAACACTAGCTATAACTGTCATCTTGAAGTCCTATTATCTACAGACTTATGACCCCATCACCCAAGTAAACTTGATTCCATCACACTGTAGTGATGGGAAACACTCACAACATGTGCTACCAGGTTTTAGACCAAAAAAGTCACAGTAAAGATGTAAAAGAGAAGGTAAAAGACAGTTAAAAATAGAAGCTATACTGCATAAGCCACTTTGGAATTGTGTTCTCACTGGTGGAAATTCACTCAACTGAGCAAAGCAAATGAATTCATGAGCATACATACTTTAAAAGGGCAAGAGACAGTTGACTAATTTTTAAAGAATTTCTTCAAGAGCTGGGAAAGGAAAAGAACAGCAAACTAAGTTAATCGAATTGTCTCAATCCACCCAATGGAAAACAGAACTTAATGTAGTAATTAAACAGCAAACGGATAGTGTAATAGAGTAAATCCTTCCCTCTCCTCTATTTTAAACACACTAGGACAGTAACTTAGCTACACCAAAGAGCAGCCTGCTTGACAGACAGCACATTAATTTTTACTGAATGTGTTTAATGACTCATTTATTGTATCAGCCAAAGTATTGAGTGGTTCATATGAAACTGAATTGAAAAGATTTGGCACTAATTCTAATAGTACTGGTACACAGCTCCACTGTCTTACCTCCTTGTTGGTAACTAGGATCCTAAGTTAAAAGGAGCTCGAGAGATCGTTGAAAACTTTCACTCAGATTGCTTACCAATTAAAGCAGAGGACAATATGGTGAAAGACCTGCTCATGACACTGTTTTCCCTTCAACTTTGTTTATTGATGTACTGAACATGAAAAAGTACAAAGGATCCAAACACAAAAGAAAACATGTACAACCTCTTAAATACTCAACAGAATATATTTTCTATTCCAACAGATGTGAATTAAGTCATACTATACAACTTCAAATAAATACCAGCCTTATATTTTACTAAGTGCTCTGATAAACACTGTAAAGTGAAGCCAAATTTACATGCCTTCTCATCAATGCCGTTAGTTGCTACAGGAGCACAGGAAAGAAGCACGTAGCTACTGTTTTCCCCACATCAGAAGGTTTGTGATTTCTATAGTATATACAATTTTTAATGCAGAGGATTAGCTTTAACAATCTAAATGCACCTAAGAATGAGGAAGTGCTCAGGAAGCCAATTGATTTTTGAATAGCATTGAGTGGGTCAGCATGAAAACTCGCTTATTCACTTTAGCACGCGCTTCACAGTATATGTACTGTACTATACTGAAAAATTTGTAACTACAATTTAAAAGAATAAGAACCAAAAGCAACTGCAAAGATAGTGTACAACTATGTTATGCATAGAACATTGCTTTTTTTAAGGGGAAGCATATGAGCATCTCAGTTTATACAAAAAGCAGGACGTAACTACATAATTGTCAGTGCATCCTGGTGAAGGCATCAAACCCTCAGGTTTTTTTTAAAAATTTAATTATAAGCTAGATGCTAATCAGAAAATATTCTGTATTTTTTCTTAAATTTCTTCAATACATGGTAAAGACTTCTATTTCCCCAAATAGTGATTTAAGCATCATACAAAGTTAAATTTCAATAGCATACAGGTATTTATGGTTTTTGTATGAAAAATGTAAGGAAATTTTTTCAAAATGATTATACTCATTTTTTACCACAAACATATTTATAAACAAAAATGTAGCATCACCATAAACAGCTGAAGCTAGACTATCTACAGACAAAAATAGCAACAGATCTGATGCACTGTAAATTCATGTCCTCAGGACAACAAAAATGAATAAGCAGACCTCAAGTAACAATGTTAATGCCATTTACAAAGAAAAAACTCATACAAAAACATTCAAAATTGAACATCACTTGGCATGTAACTCAAAATAAAACTAAAATCAAAATTCGCTGAAAGGTTCATAACTCAAGGTTTTATTTACATTACACAAAGCTCAGGTGTTAGCCTTGAACATAACTTTCAAAATACCTCCAAATATACCCAACTCAGGCCACTTCTGTTGATTTGCTACTGTGCAAACCATGCTCAATGTCTTTTCTTAAGACAAAACAATTCTTCAAACAATAGCAAGTACATCACTAAACACCATGAGCTCTAACTGAAGGGAATTCTTTAGGAAGAACAGATTTTTTTTTTCCCCCATCTCTTGGTATTTTAAGTTTCCTGCTTGCTCTTATATTTTTTTAAATTTTCATTTGTTTCAAAATCACAAATCAATGTGAGCCACCTATCACTTAATAACCAGGATGATCGAAGACTCCACTGATGATTACAAAAATGAAACCAACAGTGCATCCCATTGACTCTACTTAATACAAAGGTCTCAAAAGTATTTCTACATCATAAATCTTTCTAAATTTTCCCCAACAATTGCAAATTTCCTGGTAAGTCTTAAAAGCTCACTAGGTGTCATATGAAGAGATTTCTCAAAGTATTCAAGTCAAAATATTTGTTCCAGGACCAGTAAAAAGTTTCTCCAAATTTTTTTTTTTTTTTATAAAAATAGATGCTTTTTTAAACCCACATCAAAGAGGCTCTTATCTCTTTGGCAAGGTACTGCTTTACGAAAAGTTCTCCAGTATTCTTACAATAAGCTTTTATAACGTGTTCCCATTCCCCAACCCAAATGATAATTACAAAATAAATACTGCTTATAACTTTATAACTTAAACGTAAACTTCAAATACTTTTCTTGAACAACAGAACACCAATGCATTACAATGTAAATTAAACACAAGGCAAATCAAGAAATAACAAAAGAACCAGAAAGTGTAACACAAAGCCTCAATATTTACTCATAGCTTAATAGCAGTCATGTAAAAAAAAAACTTCTTCCGTTAGCTGAAACATTTTAAAAGGTCCACCTTCTTCAAAGAAGGCAATAGAATATGCATCGTGACAGGTAAAAACCCTGTACCTCTTGACAATATTCAAACACAAAAGATATTTACGAAGTTTTAATTCAAATATCAGCAATAAAAAAATCTCACATATTCTTAGGATGCTAAGTAGTCATTTTATCCCCATTTCCACACTGGCATACAACAAAGGCATTTACTAATGCATAAAGCTTCATGTAAATTGCCTTTGTTGTATAGTTTTCATGTATTAATGCACTGAGAATAACTTGTTAGGCTTTGTGCGCTTTGTTTGTTTTGAAGGACACCTGCAATACTCTGTCCCCAAGCCGGTATCCATTCAGGCTGGCTATTGCCATAGCTGCCTCGTCATAGTTTGTCATAGTTACAAATCCAAAACCTTTGCACTTATTGGTGTTAAAATCACGGATGACCTTCACATTGGTTACTGCTCCGAAGGGTCCAAACATTTGCCAGAGGATACTTTCATCAGCATCAGGGGCCAAGTTGTACACAAAAATGCACCATCCAGTTCCCGCATGTCCGGGGATACTAATTCCCGCCAAACTGGTCATTCCATCAATGGTCATTGGAGGAAATCTACTAAAGAATGGGGCAAAACAAAAAGAATCATAAAGCAGTTCACAGAAAACCCCAGCAAAGAAATTTGAAAATAGAAAGGGAAATGATACAGGGCTTTTCACAGCATGAGCATGCTGGTGAGACTAATACGGCAATTTTTTTCTTCTCCCCAGCTGCACAAATACTATGTACATTACTACAGACAAGCAAGGGGAACAGTGCTAGGTCCATCTGAAATGAAGTAACAGACAAAAGAAAAGCATGCTATAAAACCAGTGAGGATTAGTAAGTCATTTGAAATGGGAATTCCATGGAACTACTACAAAAGGTTTGCCTCTTTCATATAGAATGCACCAAAATGAGCAATTTCAGCTTAAGTCTCAACATGCAAAAATCTAATATAAGTCTTACTGAAAAAGTAAGAGTATACAAAATACTTAAAAATAATTTGGTTATGAACCTCATAGTCCTTTATTACCTCTTTACTCCATAAGCCATGTTGAGCAGATTGTCCAGCCTGCAAAACATTTAGCAAAATGTTTAGCCTTCAGATTTTTCCACCCTTTAATCTTAAGGAAACTTTTTATATTCCTGCCACATCCCTTGCACTGTTCAGAATCTCATGCAAAGTTGAAGTATCACCACTGAAAGAGCTGTGGCACCTTGTAACACTCGATAGTGAATACAAAATAAATGTTCTTGTGTAGTATCCACAACCATAAATAGATAGTTCAGTTCAGAAAGTGCACCAATACTGCAAGTTTAGCCTGTGTCATATACTGTTAGCACAAAGTTCCTGTCAGTGACCACCTCAGTGAAATCTTCCAGATTACTAGCTTGCTTTGTATCAAGACTCTACAGAGGCTTCTGGCAGTGTGCTGACATGAATACTCAGCCAGAAGCAGGATTTTAGAGCAGTAACAACTGTTAGCACATGAACTGCAAAGACGATTTTTTGTTTTACTACTCTTTTCCAGAATAAAGTGGTTTTGGAAAAAGATATATACACACACATAAATATTAGACTGTAAGTGCTCTTAATTTATTTCTTCCCTCTCCTTCCCCCAAGCTGCTAAACTGTAGTTTGCAACCATAACTCTTAGATCTTTTGAATTACCTGGCCAATACATGGAACATGCAGTCCCATCAATCCTACTAAACTTATTTCTGAAGTCCTTTAAAGTGCTTCTGCCCTAAAGAAGCTCTGGTCTTTCTGGCAAATCCCAGATATGAGAAGAGAAACTCTTCTTAAAGGTTCTCTTCAGGACTCCATAAAATATGAGCTTAGGTAAAAAGTACATTTTGATTTAGTTTTTAGTTTGCATCTGCCTTACAGATCTGTATGTTATTGTAATTTCTCTCCAGTAATGAGCTATAGGATTTAAGAGCCATTACTGGTAAACAGAATCCAAACTCGACAGCTGCAGTAGTGTAGCTAGTTGTGCACAAAAAAAAAACCTGAAGAAAAAAAATTTGATCTTGTTTGCAGCTAAGTAAAGGTCTCAAACTACATAGCATTATGATCCTGCACTGAGCAGAGTTTGCACGATGCACTGACAATGAAGAAAGCAATCTACTGAACCCCTAAAAGAGCAGGAAAGAGGAAATTAAAAAATGGTTGGCTACAATTAGTAGACTTAGTGCGGATGACAGAGGTCTCCTGTCATTAACATTTGTCAGTGGAGAGGAACATGGGGAGTTCCAGAAACACCACCACTTACAGGTCCTTGCTGCAGAGCAGTCAGCTGAGGACCTCATACCATAATGGCATCACCATAACAGTTTTCATCAGTTACCTGGATGACTTAAAAATATTATGGAAAAATTCTCAGGGGCATTCACTGGACAATTTTTGAAGACTATTTAAGTTATACATCCTACAGAAACTGAGGAACAACTATATATAGCTGCTTTTGAAAGTCCAGCTCAAGATTTTTCTTACTAAGAAAAAAGGAAGCATTGAAGTGATCCTATTGTTCTTCATTACTGAAGTTTATGCTGACTGTTTTCAGGCCTCCTGTCAACCATTAACAGAGACAGGTCAACCACATCAGGTAATCCTTTTTGAAATGTCAACAGCTTTCTTGCATATGAAAGACACAAAAGATCCGGAGGGACACGCTGGAGGTAAGGGATGCCATCCAGAGGGACCTTGACAAGCTGGAGAGGTGGGCTCAGGCCAACCTCATGAAGTTCAACAAGGCCAAGTGCAAGGTCCTGTACCTGGGTCAAGGCAATCCCAAGCACAGACACAGGCTGGGCAATGAGTGGTTTGAGAGCAGCCCTGCAGAGAAGGACTTGAGGGTGCTGGTGGATGAAAAGAGGAACATGAGCCAGCAATGTGCATTCGCAGCCCAAAAAGGCAACCGTATCCTAGGCTGCATCAAGAGAAGTGTGGCCAGCAGATCAAGGGAGGTGACTGCCCCTCTACTCTGCCCTCGTGGGACACCACCTGGAATACTGTGTCCAGCTCTGGAGCCCTCAACACAAGACAGACGTGGAGCTGTTGGAATGAGTCCAGAGGAGGGCTACCAAGATGATCAGAGGGTTGGAACACCTTTCCTACAAGGACAGACTGACAGAGTTGGGCTTGTTCAGCCTGGAAAAGAGAAGGCTCCGGGGACACCTCCTAGCAGCCTTCCAGTACCTGAAGGGGGCCTACAGGAAGGCTGGGGAGGGACTTTTTACAAGGGCCTGCAGTGACAGAACGAGGGGTAATCGTTGGAAGCTGAGAGAGGGCAGGTTTAGACTAGATATAAAGAAGAAGTTCTTCACCCTGAGGGTGGTGAGACACTGGCACAGGTTGCCTAAGGAAGCTGTGGATGCTCCATCCCTGGAAGTGTTCAAAGACCAGGTTGGATGGAGCCTTGAGCAACCTGGTCTAGTGGGATGTGTTCCTGCCATGACAGGGGTGTTGGAACTAGATTGTCTTTGATGTCCCTTCCAGTCCAAATCATTCTATGATTGTACAATCTGAAGCACTGGTGCAATCTCAACTATGTAGTCAGCAACAGAGCTGGAATGCTGCAGCAGCAGCAATGCAAAGACCTAAAAACCCAAAAAAAGACAGCTTCCCTTTACAGTTACAAGAATTTAAACTTTGGCAAGGCTGCCTCTTAGAGAAGAAAGAGAAGCCTGAAAGCCTCACCTCCAGCGGTTTATATATAAAAATATCTAATTTTGCCTGCAACCTCAGTTCACCTTTTGACCAGTCGGGTCAACCTTGTTCTTCCTCTTCCTTCTACATTGATAAAAGTCAGGAAGATTTTACTCTCTCTCCTATTCACTACAGATTTGGTACCTAACTCAGTGCTTTTTGTGATCTTTATACTTTTAATTGGAGCAAATGACAATATCACTTATGGTTGTTTCAGGCATCACTTTACATTTAGTATCTCAGAAAAACACCAACTTGCCAGTGAAATTTAAATGGCCATTTATAAAAACACACTTTCTTTTTAAACAAAAAAATCACAGAGAAACAAATAAAATTTTTAAGGTTCAAAGCCTAATATTGCAGGACAGGGGTAGTCTACTGAAATTACTTAACTGCAAAGGACTTTTTAGGTCCTACCCAAAGAAAACAAACTCCCAAAGTTGGTGAATTTTTACAAATCGTGCCAGATCTACCTGGTGTATCAGTTAAACACAGATGCTACCCCAGCCATTATCAGAGTAATACCGAACACAGCTGAATATCTGGGTACAAGTGCACTCAGAAGCACTCAAGTCGGTAGGCCAGACTTGCCAGAATATGTTGAATGCTGTACCACACAGGCTGTACAACAGCTCCCTCATGATCTTATTTTATGTAATGCACTTGGGTCCATCCTGCAAGTGCAGCTTCTGCCCCATGCTCTGCCTATGGATCGATACCTTTTATTCAATGTTCAGCACACTATTTAAATTAACCCTTTTATTCCTTAAGAAACTAAGAAAATCCACCAAACAATGATTAAAATTGGTTATCCCTTCCTTCAGGGCAGAAAGCCTGCTCTAGTGCTAACCTTTACACCTGTGAGAGACTTGCAGCACATTAGACTGAAAAGATGAAGAAAAGAAGAATTCAGAAGTTCTGGCAGAAGAGCAGTCCCTGAACTCTGAATATTTGGCCTAAAAGAAAGGGTAGCCAACACAGAGCTTTTTAAGTTTTGGTATATTCTCTTCCATACACTAAATATCCCAGGGAACTGTATAGCTGTAGTTTCAATACTATGGAAACATATACTCACAAAAAACAATGCAGAAAATATTCAAATAATCTTCATCACAAAAGTTTGTAATAAGACAAAACCAAGTGTGGCATGCAGAATTTAGACAACGGACTAGGAAAAAACACGAAAGCCAGAATAGGGAGGAAGGATATGGGGTGGGGAAGAGGAGGCTGGCTGTGGCATGGCATAGGGCTAAGAAGAAAATTGAATTGCCTAGGTCAACGTTAACTGAATTAACTTGCACAATACTCAACAATAATCTAGGAAATTAAAACCAATTTTTAAAAACGGATTTTTTAGTGACTGTGCAGAAGAAAGATGTCATCTCAGTTTAAGCAGGTTTATTAGATACCAAAATGCTATCAACAGGATGGAATGCATTTTTGCTTTTAGCTGTATAGAGAAAATGCAGCTGAAGTTCAACATTTTAATACGTGTCCTTCGCACACAGGAATCAGGCAAGCAGGGAAGGAAAAGAGTGGACAGAAACAAAACATGCCCATAGGAACATGTGGGTTCCAGCACAAGTATGTATTTTTGACTTACCTAAAACGTTGAGCCTGCTGAGCTAGAGGTGTCGGATACCTTCTGTTTGGAGAATGGTACAGCTGGGAAAGGATGGCCTGATTGGTTTTTTGGCTTGGATTGTTCGCAAACTTTACAGTGATGGGCTCTGTGACACCTGGAGGTTTCTGGCCATTCAAGCCCTTGATAGCTTCTTCTGCTTCGATTCGCTTGTCAAACCGGATAAACCCTACGCCCCTTGATACCCCTGCACAGGGTGAAGGAAGCATATAATTAATTCAGAGACTCTGAAATATTATAAGTTAACACTTGATTTTTATAGCCAATAGCTATGTTAATGGCCAATTGCTGCAAACACACAACTGAGCTTATTAGAACTGAGCTTCTGCTCAAAGATGACTTTTCTACTGTAAGTATTCATTTTTTTAAATTTAACTGACATAAGATACATTGTGTAGAAAGCTTGGAAGGTTGAGGGAAAACACAACATAGTGAGCCAAAAGGTAATTCTGAAACAAAATAATTTTGAGCAGGGGTGGAGGTGAATCCAGAACCACCTGCACTGTGGCCTCTGTTCAGTTCATGCTGCTTTGCAGTATCTAAATTCACAGAAATTCTGTTAATAGTTTAGTCATCTGCTCCCTAGCAGCACAAAATGGCTTATGGTGTCCTGCAGCACCCCTCAAAATTCTCTTTGGAGCAAATACGCTGAGAGAACAAAGAATAGAGTGCAAGTTCTAGACTGCAGTGCTGGGAATCATGGCCCTGTCTTAAAAAAGATTGGGTTTCAGCATACCACAATATTTCCGTAGATGTTGTTCTGAAGGAAATTTTTCTTGGGCCATAGATTCTTCCTTGGTATACAACTTGATCAGCAAGTGTTTATGGAAGGTCTTAAGAACTTCACAACTCAAAATTTTGTACTGTGGCTTAAGTATAAACACAGATGTGTCAATACTTGAACCAATTAACATTAAAGCTACTACAGCCAACCCTAGTTAGTTTCATGCTCTGTTAACCCATTTAGAGGCCCCTTATATTTTGATTCATGAATAAACAGACAAGTTACACGCTTGTCCTCACTTGAGAAAGACATCAACAACAAGAAATATATTCTGTTCATAAACAATGATTTAAACCTTCCAAGTGACAATGAGCAGGTGTAAGAAAGCTTTAAAGAGGCAAATTTCACAGCTTCAGCTCTGCATTTTTCATCTTTCAGTTTGTATCACAGCCTTATTACTCATACGATTTCAAGTGTACCTCTTCCAAATTACTAAGAAGGAGGAAAGAAAGCTTGAACCTGAACAACAGTCTATGCCAGACAACTACTATGCACATACTAGAATTTACTAGGATTTATGAGTACTTACAATTTGAGTACACATTTAAAAGTTTAATTACATTTACTTATTTGGCCCATTTGTCAAATCCAACCACTTCTACGCGTAACTATACAGGAACATACTGTAAACACCTATTCACTGCACAAAGACTGGAAATCTGCTGCTTCTACAAGTCACTATTTGGTCTTTAGCTTTCCTTTCCCGGCCTCTCTACACTCTCACCAACTTACACTATTAAAACACTCCAAGTATTGTGTATCAATATTAAGATTTCTGTTAACATAATGGAATTGCAAAGGAGTACATACAAGGTCCTCTATAGGTCAGCCAAATGTCAAACACCAGTACGCACAATCCTTTCAAAGTAAGACCGTCTGAAAGCTTTATGACCTGCTACAACGAAAGCTGTTTGTCACCCACAATGACATGCGACTTTGAGAAGGTACAACTATAAAAAAATCCAAGCTAGCTTATTATTCAGGGAATAATTACAAGTAAACAAGTTTTTGTCCCACATGCCTTGTTTTTTTGGAAAGATGAGAATTTGGAAATCCCTGCTCCTTCATATCTTGCTTTGCACACTCAATACTTTTGTCATGTACTTGACATTTCATTTGATTGCTTATTTTTGGAACAGGTCTGCTGGAAGCAGGTGAGGCAGCAAGTGATAAAGCTCCTCAAGATCGGCCATTTGAGCGAGCAAAAATATATGCATTACTATCCAAGTCCGAAGAGTAACCGCAGAGTGTCACTGACACCCATTCACTGGTTAAGACACATACTGTAACAATGCAACTAATCTGCTAGAGCTTAGTTCTTTAAGGTACTGCTAAGCACAGATTGTCTCTCAAGGAACTCAAAGTTCCTGTTCTTCAGTGTGCCTGAAGTTAATGAGGCAACCTTGAAAACAGCCTTAACAGCAATTACCAGTCTGGGTCTTTTGTAATCCTAGCCTCAGAGAACCAGCTGTGCATTTGTGCATAAAATTTTATTTTTATAAAAAAGTGTTTAATAGCATTTCATAAGGCACATAGGGACTATTTTCATGCAGCAGCTTGGAGAGGAAGATTATAGCAGTTGTAAATTTATTACAAGCCACGAAACAGGCTTCCAACCCGCACCTTCAGGGTGGAAATGACTCAAGCTCGCTCAGTACACTTCACAATCTATTTTTGTCCATGCGTATTTATGAACAATTCCAGCAGAAAATTGCATTTTCTGGCCTACATACACCTTTCACACATTTTAGAAACAAGACTATTGTACTGAAAGGTGAAATATTTCTTAAACTGCCAGTCCAAAAATGAGAGCAAGTGCAAAACTACCTACTTACCAGTTACTTGGTCAACCAGAATACGAGAAGTAATAATGCGTCCATATTGGGAAAAGAGTTGCTCTAGTTCTTTCTGGGTCATTGTTTTTGGAAGTCCACTGACATACAAATTTGCATCTCTGATAGAGGCTGAACTTGGTCGCGCATAGGAAACCTTAGGAGAAAGTAAGTAAAAAACTAAAAATCAAACATTTTAAAAACAGTTGAGATAAGACAGTGTTGTTTGTTCTGAGACATTGAAACGTTTCTAAGGACAGCCAGAAAAAGTTACCTTGCAAAGCCAGTTAAGTGGGGTTTTTTTGGTGCTGGCTTCTGTGAGAACACTGAAGGAATGCAACACAAACCACGCCAGAGAAGCTGACTACATGAACTCACACAAAATTTAAGAAGTACTTTCAAATAAAGGAGAAAAGCTAGGTACACCCTGCAGCAAGCCTTGGTGGAAAAAAAAGTATTCTCAGTTAGCTTACTATAAGATTAAACAGACAAATTTAAGATGCAAGAATGTCTTCCTTTTAATTATCATTAAAAACCATTAAAAAAATACAAGAAACAAGAGATTCCATTTTGATACCCAGGTCAAAAACAGTCCAAAGCACTCAGAAGTTTACAAGTGTTTTTCAAGTGCTGTGCCCTTTGTACATGTGTTGAGCTTGCTATCAAATGATACACTATCATCCCTGAGGTCAAGATAAACTGCTACATCACTTTTATAGGCCTAAGAATAGGCAGAAGTAGGAACGCAAATTGCATTTTGGCTGTTCAGCATCTTGCCACTTTCTGCAACTTAGAGGTCTTACAACCAAATCCCAAGTAACAGTGAGCTTCTCAGGTCCTTTTGGACAGAAGTTTTTACCTGCTGCCTTAAAGTGCCCATCAAATATTTTATGAAGAATACCAATCAGATTCCTCAACCTGCAGACATATGCTACAAAACCAGCATGTTGAAGAGTTCAGTACCTCCCACTGAATTCTGTACAAGTGGTTTATCCTTATCACAGGAAAGATTAGAACAGAACACCCACGCTTGTGAAACAGGACAGGACAAAATACTGTATTGGGGGTTTTCACTGTACAAAGTGTAAAGGTAAAAAGGAGCCTCAAGAAATAGTCAGATTTATTTCCTTTCCTTCCCTCCCTACAATGCCAAGATCAGCCAGCTCCAGGTAGCTGGAACTTAACTCTGTAAATGTATCTTTTGCCTAATTCTTTGACATTTCTTTCAAACCCTTCCCCTGGTCTCATTTCCATAGATATCAGCAGACTCTTAAGACCCCTGTGGAAGCAAAACAAAGAAGGCAATTGCAATAGAGCACCCCAGAGACTAAATAAGCAGTACCCTGAACACAGCTGTGATCATTTGCAGTTCTACTCAGAGGCTTTGTGCAAGGTATCTTCCGAAGCTGAGTGAATAGGTCTGACCTACAAAACTTGTAGCTGTTCAAGATAACACACTATCCAACAGAGCCCTGCAAGCCATAGTGCCTTGATCTATTAACGTGACAGCCACGCAAGAGCTAAAGACCTGTGTTCAAAGTGCTTGTTTTCTAACCTCCCACACATGCAGCTGGGAATAATGTCAGCCTTTTCTCCTAATTTACTTTTCTTTTGTGAAGATGTGCAAATTTAATCTTAACAGAAAAGCTGCCAGTGTCCAGTTTTACATCAGGAATGACAGAATTTTGCAGTTTCCATACAGTGTGTTTCAACTCCAGTAAAGCTGCACTGAAGAACAGAGTATTTTCCACTGGAGCTGAGCCCACTGAACTAAAGATTACTTAGTCCTCTTTCTTCTACGTGGAGAACATAGGCATGATTCGTGTCAAAATAAAATATGGTGTGATAAATGTAATTGTTGTACCCTGTGTGAATCTGAAGTAATTTGTAATCACTATAACCTGTATCATAATTGTGAGGAATGTTTGAATCAAATTGAGAATTTGTAAGAGTAAAATATAGGCAAGTGTGCTTCTCACTTGGAACAATGTAAACAATGTAACCGCTTCTTAAAACCCCTGCTTAGAGCTGATGTAACCGCTGCTTAGAAAAGCCTGCCGAAAGATGAAACCATGAGACTTTCAAAGGATCCAATAGAAAAAGAGGATTGGTCAAGACGCTGCCTTTAGAACTTGATGTGTGTCCTGGTAGAGCAGAGACTCCCGGCACACCCAGCGCTGTTTCCTTATCTCTATTCACTTAATAAATTGGAAACTTTGTTTAAAAACCTGGTTTGGGACAAAATTATTTATCACATTCTGTATGCCCCCTCACTTTTTTATATTATTAGAAATATGCACTAGGAAACTGTCCACAGAAGAGCTCATGAAAATTACCACCAAAGTTCCAGGTAAACTACAGACCCTTTAGCAAAAAACAGATTCAGGGTCTGTAAGTGTGAAAAATCAACCAACCAAAAAAAAGACCCCACCAAGTACTAAAAAAATATTCCTGACATCTGGTCATGGTAGGAACCTGCTATATGACTCTGGACAAATCTTTCCACCTCCACTTCCCATGTGACAGGGACCTCTTTTATAATATCCAGTCACATACACTAACAATGGGTATTTTCCAATAAGTTAAGGAGGGTTTTTTGTCTTTAAAAACGTCTTTGGTACCTCTTGGGGTTTTTTCAAGATACAGGTTGTGATTTTCCATAGACTAACTGGGAACTGACAGATTAGATTTTCTATTTTGCCTTGATTCTTGCCATTTAAGAAAGTCAACATAGGATTTTTCCTAGAAGACAGTATCAACTACTAGCTAGAGTCAGATTCACATAGCAGGAGCGTTCAGGATTGAAGTGCCTGTAACCTGCCATAGGAAGCCACTGTAATTATCAGAATTGAGCAGTAAAAAGTGATTATAGCCATTTTGCAGCATCATAAGTAATTATTCTTATATTATGCAGCAACACTTTAAATTACAGCAATGATAGAATCTTGTAAACTACTGGAAACAAGACATCAGATAATCAATGTTACAAGAACAGCAGTCATGTACCTGCACGCGAGAATACTTGATTCCCAAGAGCATTTCACAAGGTAGATGGGAAATTTAAGAGGTCCTTTCAGTAAAGGCAAATACATAATTCTGATTTCTTAAACATTGCTCCAGCAGATTCAATACTCAAGTCCAAATCTCATCAGCAACATTAGCTTTTTCAGAGGAAGAAAGGAAAGGAGAGACCTTACTGTTGTATCTTTTTGCTGTTTTTGTTTAACTAACCATACCCTTTCTTTAGATGAGTATTTGCAAAGTCAAAGACAATGAGCACCAGCAGAAATAAAGATGAGGGGAAAGCACAGTCTTGCAAGTCAAAGAGAAGAGGAATCAGACTTCAACTACCAGCTGGGTCAAGTGACTGATTTTGCCAGTTCTGTGCTGAAGAGTTTAACACTAAAGTTTTGTAAAAACAGGAGTTTTTTCCCTTGAAATGGTAAATCTGCTGCCAGTATATGGCTGTGCAGCCAAAGTCCAATACTTGCAAGCTGTCTTTGAAACTAAATTCTTTTTTTTATCCTGTATATTCAACCTTCACACTACATACACCCATATTTGAAAGAACAAAGTTTCTAGATCTTGAATTATTTTCCTACTCTTCTGGAGGTGAAAGTATGCACCTATGATATTCCCAGGTGCACAGGGAGTTTGAGAAGTAAGCTGCACCAGAGACAGGAGAACAGAGTAAAGCTTACCTGCATTCAGCTCAAGGATGGACAGTGATGGCTACCCAAGAAGCAGAAAAAATACAACAGCTAAAGAATGAAAGAACTTGGCCAACTTGCCCACTTGGCTATGAGCTTCTTGAAGAAATGAAGCTCCATGCCACACTTGGCAGGATTACCTTAAGGAGGCCCAAGGCCAGAGACTGGAGACAGACCGCCTGGGGAACAGGACCAGACTCAAAATCCTGAAATATCAAAACTAAACAGTTTGAACAGATAAGTTAGTTTTCAAAAGAAACCCTTCCACCCCCCAAATTTAACTCTACATGGTAGCAGAGCACAGCAAAGTCCATTTAGTAACTGAACACAATGAACTATTACTAATGTAAAGTTTGATGCCAATGGAAGCAGGGGAGGACACGCACTACTTATAAACTAGATGAAGAAAAACATATAGCTGCATGTGTTACCAGCATATCTCAATTTTATTTGCTAGTTTTTAATTCTCTCTGGAATTGAGATACACTGAAAACTGTTCTATCCAGTCCTATTTAAGCTGTCAGACATAAGTTTTTCTTTCTGTATGCATTTGGTCAGGTCCTCTGGAGAGAAGTCTCTGGGAGTGACCATCAGCTAAGGAAGGAAGAAAAACAGTGACTTACCTTTGTATTTAATAAGAAAGCTATGCGACTGCTAGTCAAACTACATTTCGCTACTGAGAAACTCAAAAAACCCCTACAGTTTGCTGAACATTAAGGAGGTATTGTGGACATAACATTAGCTTTGAACTCAAGATAAATACCTGTTACTAAGCTGTTTTCTAAGCATGCAGGCTTGCAAGCACTCAGAACAGAGGCTGAAGAATGTAAGCCTCACAAACCCCTTTCAAACAGCACAAAAGCCTGTATGAATAGAAGGTACTGAAGGCCTGCCAGAACCCCTAAGCCATACTTTATGGTGCTACTGTTTTCCCAGTCTCCAAACTATCTAGACTTTGCTCTAGAAGTAATTCTATAGATGCTGACAGATTAAATAGTTCCATTTTCTAGGCAATCTAATGCAGTAATTGGACTTTCCATCCAGCTGCTCACTGCTAACCGTCAAAGCCATTCTGATTCAACACATTAGATAGAATAAAACTGAGGAAGTACAATGTAAGCAGAAATAAGGCAGTTGTGTTCTTTATGAAGAAAGACACAAAAACCAAACAAAAACCTTAAGTCAATTAAGTGACCTGTGAGGCCATGCTTAATACCTAAAACTTCTTTCCCTTCTAGCCAATGACACTAAGGTAGGCTAGAAGCAAATAACTAATTAACAAGGTTGCCTAATCCGCAATTCAAGTTGAGTAGCGCTGAGAATGAAATTAAAATTCTCTCTTCTTACCCATACATTGTCCTGACAGACCTCCCTGGTGATTATCACAGCCCAGCAACACAGGCATGGATACCACAGTTCTTATAAAGGAAGCTGCTAAAACTGCTTTATAGGTCTGGAAACCATGTTGATGTCCCTGTTCACCATCTCCAGTGACTGAAGGATCACCTCCAAGGCAAAGGTCCATCCTAGCAAGCAGGAAACCAAGTAAAGGTGTCTGGGGGCCTGCCTGGATGAACAAGGGATTAAACTCCAACATAAAACTAACATGTACAGGATGTGAAATCAGAAATATATAAATGGTGTCCAATCATGCACAGATGAGGTTAGGAAACCTAAAGTCCATCTGGATTTGAATTTGGCGAGAGATCTGAAAGGCAATAAAAAAAGATCTGTACAAATACATTGGCAGCAAAAGGAAGACGGGGGAAAACATGAGCCCACTGCTGAACAGTGCAGGGAAAATGCTGACCAGGGACAAAGAAAAGGACAGGATACTTAGTACTTTCCTTGACTCAGTCTTTATCAGTAAAACTGACCTTCAGGGATCCCATGAGACAGTAAAAATTCTGGAACAAGTAATACCCTCAGTGGAGAATGATCACGCCGAGGAACATTTAAACTGCACAGACAGAAGTCCATGGGGCCTGAAAGGCTGCACGCACAACTGTTGAGGGAGCTTATGGATGTCATTGCAAGGCAACCTTTGGTTGTCTTTGGAAGGTCCAAGGAACAGGGGAGGTTTCTAAGGAGCAGGAGGAAGTGAGTATCACCCATCTTCAACAGCAGCAAGAAACTCTTGCTCTCTGGGCAACTATAGGCCAGTCAATCTCAACTCAATTCCTGGGAAGGTAATCAAGGAACTAACCATGAAAATCTCCTCCAGTTACATGGATGACAAGAAGGTGACTGGAAACAGTCATCATGGACCAACCTCAGACTTCTACAATGACATGACTGCCTTGGTGGACAAGACGAGAACATTAGATATTGTTTTTTGCAACTTTAGTAAGACTTGTCACTCTCGCACAATATCCTCAAAAAGTGCCCATTAAGTACACCTACATGTACTTAAGTACATACTAGATTTGTATTAAGCACATACTGGTTAAGTAGGACAGTGACATAGACTGAAAACTGCCAGGCTCAATGGGTTGTGATCAGTGGCAGGAAGTCCAGTTGGAGGCTAGTCACTGGCCTCCATCAACCCTGGATCAAATACTGGTTAACAACTTCACTAGTGACCTGGATGATGGGGAAGAGTGTAACCTCAGAAACTTCAGAGATGACACAAAGCTTGGAGGAGTGGCTGACAGGCCAGAAGGTTGTGCTGCCATCCAGAGGAACCTCAGCAACCTGGAGAACTGGGCAAACAGGAACCTCAAAAAAGTTCAACAGGAAAAGCTGTGTCCCTGGGGAACAATAATCCCATGTAACAGTACACACTGGGAGATGACTGGCTGAAAGGCAACTTGGCAGAGAACCTTAAGAGTCCCGGCGGACACCAAGCTGATCATGAGCCAGCAGAAGGTGCCCTTGCAACAAAGATGACCAATAGCTACCTGGGCTGCATTAGTAGAAGCATTATCAGCAGGTCAAGGGAGATGATCCTTCTTCTCAGCACTGATGATACACTTCTGGGTGGACTGTCTCCAGCTCTGGGCTCCCCAGCACAATATGGGTATTTACAACTAGAGTGAGTCCAGTAAAGGGCCACAAAGTGTTTAAGGGACATTGTTCCTGATGCAAGGAAAGGCTGAGAGAGCAGTGATTGCTCAGTCTGGAGAAAGGCATCTCAGCAGGATCTCAGCCTTAAAAATCTGTTGAAGGGAGTAAAGAAGATGGAACGAGACACTTCTCTGTAGTATCAAGTGACAGGACAGGAGGCAATGGGCACAAACACACAGAAAAGTTAATTTGGAAATTCCACATAGATTTAATTCCATAATAAAACACCTTTTTGTGGTAAGGGGTGGTCAAGCATTGGAAGAAGTTACTCAGATAGCACGGTCTAACCCCGGAGATGTTCAAAACCCAACTGGACACAGGCCTGAGCAACCTGCTTTGTGGTGAGCCTACTCAGACCAGGGGGTCAGTCTAAGAGGCCTCCAGAAATGCCTCCAACCTCAACCATTCTGTGATTCTGAAACATCACATAACAAATCTTAAGTAAATTCTTTGAAATGGACTTCTATACAGCATCCCGAAATAACTTGATTCAAGTGAAGGTAACAAAGCCAGGACAGAGGATTCCCACTCAGCTTTTTGCATAAAATCAGTGATGCGGTCATTTTCCCCCTATTCCTTCCAAGAGGAACTTGAGATAGTAACACTGTCTTCCCAAAGAGGAATTCACGCTACTGGACACGTGCTGTCACATACCAAAGATATAAATTCACTCTGAGCCCTTCAGAAGAGGGGAAATCCACAAAAAGTGTTTGCTAACTTACTGCTAGTTTACCTTATGCTACACAACTGGTATCTCTCAAGATATAAACCAGTATGTACAAAACTCATCTCACTTTTCCTCTGTCAAATGAGTATGAATTCTTTCACTGCAACAGCTGATCCAGTAATGTCTACTGCCCATGCCCTAGCTGGTAAATGCTATTTGGAACAGTTTGACACAGCAGTCAAGGCCTATACTGAATGCAATTTAAAGAAAGCTATTAAATCAAAGCAGTAAGCTCTAACCAGTAAATACTACCATTACAAGCTCAGTTTCAGTGTCATTCCCTTTAAATTTTTGAGATGTGTTTACAAGGTATTTTTCACATCTACGAACACACCCTACATGGAAACTATCCCACTGACTATTCCTATATCCTAACTGATGCATATTGGAACCTGGACAGATTAGTCACAAGAACAACACACAAACTGAAATTAGTACTACATCACTAATATCCAAACACTATCTCTAGCCATCCTAAGCACCACCACAAGTTCTGGCCAGGCACGAAACCTGGAACAAACACAGAACTTCAGAAACCCAATGTAACTGGAGTTTATTTTCTCTGGCAAAACATTACTAGTGATCTCTGATTATTGCCAAGTCAGCATCACTAGAGGGGAAAAAAAAAAAAACACCACAAAATGTTACTGGTATAAGGAAACTAATCTCATGCAAAAGAAGCCTGCCTGGAGTACAGAATATACAGTTCCTATTAATTATTGATATCGAAGTCCAGCTATTTCACTTGTGATGCAGATTTAAAGCAGAGACTCTCCAGATTAGTCTCCCTACTTGTATCCTATCAGTTTGCTCATTCAGCAATTACTTGCCTGTAGTTCTAGATTCAGTCTCTTCAATCAATGTACTTATGTACTGAATTAATAGCTGTGCTAAAATGTTAAGGCCACAGCTACTTCAACAGGTGAATACTAAATAAAGAAACATTAAGGTTATGCAATGTCAAAACCATTGAACACAGTGCAAGTCAAGAAGCAGCCAGAAAGCCTAGTTTTAAATATTTAATGATGACACACACTGTACAACACTGAACACAGCTACTCTGGAGACACCAATATAAAACCAGTTTTACAGGAATTTTCCACTGCACTTTGTAGGAAAGACTTGTTTCTAGAAATGCAAACTCTACACCACCAAATCCAAGTATTTCCATTGCTTTAATATTTCATTTCCTAACCTCAAGATGAACTGATTTACAATTTTCAAGTCAAAACTGCGAAAGTTAGCAGGTTAAGCAAAGAAGTTGCAAAAAAGAATAGAGATCCAGTCCCTACAAATGAATGTTTCAGTTTCTTGCTATCTGCTACCACCTTTAGACACCTCAGCACCATACTTCTTTTTGCCTTATGGCTTATTAGTAGTATAGAGTGCAAACAGAGCCAGAAACAGAGGAAGAAGGTTCACTTTCTTTTTAAGAGGAAATGCTTCTTACCCTGGGGTAAATGTCCCAGCACTCACCCGTTTATGTGCACTAACATAATTGCCTATGTTGTGTTGGTCAAGAGGAGCCAGATCCAAGCTACTCCAGGCTACGTTGAAGTTCATCATATATGACTATCAAACTCTTCAGCACTTCTTCCAGCAGTTTCAAAAGTCCATTTGGCATACTCTAGATAAAATTTGGAGGTGCTTTCACCTTCAATTTAAACAGAGCTGCAGCTAACTTCTTCACAAGTCTTTAAATCTGAAATCTTTGAATGTTAAAATCAGGATTTCTAAGTATGTTTACATTCAATGACTTCCAGTGTAAACTTTCAGCCTAGAGTAACTTTATCTAGACAATATGAATTTGCCAATATGAATAGGCTAAATATATCACACAACACCTATTAAGACACACAAATATGAACTCAATATGGGTTTTTTAGTTGAGGAAAAGAATAACGCACAGATGTGTTTTTCAAAACTAAGGAATAACCTCCCTGCAGGTAACTTCCACTGAAATAGACTGAAGTCTCCTTACAGATGTAGTCTCTTGCAGCTTTCAATAACCGCTCACAGGAAAGTCTTCCATCTTTTACATATTTACCACATTCACTCTTGAGCATGTTAGTGCACAGTATGGACACTGGATGTAAGGTCTCCAGCATCTGAAGCTTCCACTGATTTTCAGGTTAGTTACTGGACAGACAGGCACACTGCTGATATAACAGTGAGCACCGGAGCTCAGAAAGTTTTTACTTTCATTCCTCTGACCATGTTCCTGTTTTTGACTTTTGTCAGTCAGGAAACAACCACCACAGCCACTTGCACTACTTGCCTGCAGCACAGCCCATGCTGACCCCACTTCCCAGTGGGCAGCAGGTCAAAAGCCCTAGCTCCACAACAATGCTAGGAAACTAAGATAGCTGCTCAGGTTATTTGGGTCAACATGAAATTTAAGGAAAAAAAAATATCTAGTTTCAGTTCTGGCTCTAAGTCCCAGCTTGGCATTTTAATCCACTCCTCCCTCTCACCTTTGCAATTTCCTAAGAATGTGACATGATTTAGTCATTATTAAAGCAGGGGCAGCAGCAAGTTCAGTATAGCAAAGCAAGTTTTAAGAGGAACTCAGACTATGAGCAGGTCTCATCTGGATGAGGGAAGCTGATAAAGGTCTAGGACAACAGGGAGACATTAAAGACAACCAGACTGAGAAGCTAAGAAAGCCCATAACATTCTTCTGGAGACAGTGTTTTGTAAGAAAGCATGGGATTCTCTGGTCTGGGAAGCAT